ATATGGCGGGCCGAGCTTAGCTTTTATGATATTTGTATGAGAGGAGATGTAATATGTCCGTATACCAATTTTGACGGAAATCGTAGGGGCTCACCCAAATGACCTTGAAATTCAAACATCCGTAACTTCGTAAATATGGCGGGCCGAGCTTAGATCTTGGGTGCATCGTAATCAGGACGTTACGTACTATCCACTGACCAAGTTTGGTCCAAATCGTAGGGGCTCACCTGATTCCGAATCTTAGATTATAGATTAGGATTCACTTACATCAACTTGACGACCGTATATCTGAAACATGTTTCGTGAGGCTCCAACACCATTCAATTCATCTCCTTCAAAAGAAGTGTTTTGTAACATTTTCGATGTTTTTTGGACTTAATTGCTAGCTCCATTCATTCTATCTTGCGTGAGGATAGTCATCACTCGGGGACCAGTCGTTGAAAACAAGGAACAACGACGAGACGAAGGTCTTGTAAAAAGTCGCAGCGATTGCATTGAGCATTAAATGACGAAAATATTTTTACCCCCCACCGCCTCAGGCGATCACGTGCCGTCACCCACCTGGCCGCGCTGTAGCTCTATTCAAGGCGCTCTATTGATTCCCGAGTTAGCCGTCGGGTGTTTCTAAAATTGTTGAAAAAGATTGAGCGCTGTCCGATGTAACAAAAGCTCCTCCATGAGAAGTTCCTGCGCATGCGCATATTGCCTCAACCCTGTGCTGGCGTAAATTACTGATACTGCTCACGGACTCAAATCAGCCAATCAGCGTCCCGGCTTACATTGATAGATGTCGCTAGCGTCACGTAAATCCTGCTTGCGAACACGTTTTAAGAATGAAACAGCTGCACCATTTCTGCCTTCCACAGATTCCTTCCATCTTTGTAATACAATTCGAAAGCTCCGACCCGAACGATTTCTGGTGGAGTAAAGTCCTCATTCAATTATTACATTAGCAAACTCTGCAGTCTACATCACGTCCTTTAGTGAATCCTTCCATCTTAGTATCAACCAAAGCTAGGTGCGTTCAATAAGTAAGTTCCGGAGAGCAATTACTAAAATTCACGCGGTCTACGCACGTGATTTTTTCAGGGATTAGAATTCAGACCTTAATGTCGAAGTGACCGCATTTTCAGCTTCTTCTTCCATTTCTGTGACGATATGGAGCAGATCAAATAACACCATTTTTTAGACTGCTTTAGAAATGGCATCGGCCACCCGAGAGGATCAACGTTCAGTGATACGATTCGTAGCTATCCAGGGCTAGCCGGCGGCTAACATCCACGCCAACTTCGTGAATGTGTACGGGAGCCATGCTCTTAGTGATTCCGCAGTTCGGAAGCGGAAGAAAGTTTGGGGAGGGGAGGGAGAGCGTGCGCGACCTGGCACATGCAGGAAGGCTGAGGACGATGGTCACAGTCACTGACATCGCCAAAGTGGAGGAGATGGTGATGGCCAACAGAAAGATTACTGTCCAGGCGATAAAAGAAAGCCTAAACATAAGCCTACGCCAGGATCATTAGAGAGTCAGAGACCATCTCTGCCAGTAATCGTCAGTTGCCGCCCCGAGAAGGCCCGTGGTCGGTTCATCCTCCTCCAGGATTGCGCGCCTCTTCACCGTGCCCTCGTGGCGAGGGATGCCCTGCAGGCAGAGGGCATCGAGGTGCTCTAACACCATCCCTACTCTCCACACGTTGCACGCAATGACTATTGACTGTTCGCAGTCATGAAGAAAAATCTCCGGGGCCGGAGGTTCGGCTCGCGGTCTGCACTCGGGTCTGCTTTTTACCAGTATGGCGAAAAGACCCTCACTCAAACCTTCCGTGCGGCCATCCGGGACCTGGCCAAACTATGAGACCGATGCGTTCGCCTGCAGGGCGAGTTCGTCGAGCCGTGAGCCATGTTTGGTTGAGATGTGCCAGAAAATAAAAGAGTTATATCAAAACGGAACTTACTTATTGAACATACTGGTATATACCGCATCAACTATGCCCTTTTCAACTAGCCTTAGACAAGATATCTTGGCTCGCTCCGCGTCGCTTTGGCCATAAAAAGATTCGGGAGAAATTTGGGATCGAATGGTGTTTTCCGGTGACGATCGGACGTCTAGAAGCTTCGATATTGGCGAAAAACTTGCTGAACTTGCAAAAGTACTTGGTACTTGCTTGGTACTTGCCAAAGTACTCGGTACTTGCCAAAGTACTTGGTACTCGCTTGGTATTTGCATAAGTACTCGGTATTTGCCAAAGTACTTGGTACTTGCTTGGTATTTCCATAAGTACTTGGTACTTGCTTGGTACTTGTAAAAGTACTTGGTACTTGCTTGGTACTTGCGAAAGTACTTGGTACTTGCACTCGCCCCCCCGTTCCCCCGACTCTACTCCCACACCTACCCCCTCGGGATAATTCCGGGTTCGTCGGGTAGGAAAACTTGCCACTACCACCCCCCCCCCCCCCCCCCACAGAGCCATTTGGTATCGATCGGTGTTGATCCCGTGTCAATCGGTCGTCAATAAGCCGAGATATGCACGGCGAATTATTTCAATCGGCGTCGATCAGAATCTTCAGAACGGAGGGACCCACACTCATTTCTGGCCGTATCTCACTTTTCCGAGATGTACGTCAAACTACGTATTTAAAACTACATATTCTACAGCCGAATCTTCAAACTGGGGGTACCTCAGACCGTGGGAACGACTCGGCTCAGCACTGCCGCACGCGCATTCAGCGGCGGCTTGTCGATTTTTCGAGTGTCGGCTGCCGATCTCCCGAGAGCCGGCCACCTGTCAGCCGCCGCTCGGCTCCGTGTTAAGCATATGGGGACGGCGAATTTCTCCCGGAGGGAAGCACCTCGCTCACAAAAGCACGTGAATCAGCCGCATTCCTGTGTGGCGCGCAATGTTGAAGAGATATGTGTTTCCGCGGGTATCTCGCAGCCCTAACAGGAAAAGCTCGCTGCAAAAACTGACGTTTCAAATAACGCCAAATCCTAGTCAAATAGTATATTTACTAGGTGACTTGCTTGCTCCGCGCGCATGATTGGGCCACAGGAGATTTGCAGCAGCCAAACGACGGGATTAGCCAATTCGAGCAGTGAATGTTTATGTGAAATCTAGCAGCAGCGATTTACCTAACTGGGCCAGGGGACAGGTCACAGTAGTTGACATGGCGAATCATTCTGACATGAATTCAGAAGGTTGACAGCGGTAATGCTGGCGTGCTAAGCTACGCTACAAAAACCGCCCTGTGTAGGCAGCATGCTCAGTAGGAGAAAAAGAGCAGTGAAGTAGAAGTAGTGTAAATGTAGCGTGCTGCTATGGCGATACACAATAGGAAGGCCGATTAGGAAACAGAAGTAAGCAAAGTGTCAAAGCGGCATTAGGCGACACACTGACCGGATTAGACACAGTCAGAATGACTTGCTGGGATTAGCTGGACTGGTCTGGTCCGATTGCCTGGCAGAGCTTATCGGATCCGGGGTTTGTTGGCGTCAGCTGCGGCTGCTGGCGGCAGCCGGTGTCGATGACTGGCGGCCCTGCTGGTTAACTGCATGGTGGCGAGAAATGTAGTCAGGGACACGGCATAAGGAAGTCAAAAGGCTCGGAGTCTTAGCCAGGCATAGTTCAGGGTCGCCGTGCCGAGGTGATGGATAGATTGAAGGTTTTATAGGGAACATCAAGGTCGGCTCCGCACACTGAACACAGCCTGTTACCAGGGTGCACTGTCGTGGAAGTGCTCCGAGCGCGCACCCCGCCCTTAACACGTTTTTAAAGTAACTTTGAAATATGATTTAAGCACAATGAAATGAGTTAAGCACACTGAAATGTCAATGTCAGCCTCCTGATGAACTTACGTTAACGATGTCAAACTTTTAGTATAACGGTTAAGGGCCCGTTACGTCAGCGCGTACCGGCATACACTCACTCACGCGCAATCATTCACCACTCCAAATACCCACAGCACCGAAAGGGTTAAGCACAGGATGCAGATGCAGCCACGCACTCACTCACTGGCACCCCCCGACGTAAGACTCGCCCCGCAGCGGTTTAGACTCCCCCTATCAAGGGGTGAAGTGTCCGATCGATCACACGACACGGACTTCAGACGTTCACACGTCTGAAAGGGGGTCTCACAACCGACAGCGACGCGCCTAACAACCGTCACACCTGACAGTTGACACAGTTACAGTCACGCACACATTCGCACACGGACTCACTCACTGACACGCTCAGACGTAAGACTCGCCCCGCAGCGGTTTAGACTCCCCCTATCAAGGGGTGAAGTGTCCGATCGATCACACGAAACGGACTTCAGACGTTCACACGTCTGAAAGGGGGTCTCACAACCAACAGCGACGCGCTAACATTTCCAGACTAAAAAATCCCAGCACACGGACCACCAGCCGTACCACACGACTGACCACAGGAGTATCTGACCGCTCTTGGACGCCGCCGCCTGACTATACTTCCGATAACGTTTAAGATTACGGCCGATGACGCACCCGCTTCCTAACGCCCAATACGATTGGCCGCAGCCTACAGTTGGCCGTCGACATTGACCACCCGGACAGACAGAGTGGCCCTCCCACTCAAGGAGCAAGGGCTTCCTCCGGCCACTCCGGGCTCAACGTCATAGCAATTGGGTGAAGGACGGCACAACGCGGGGTACATCCGATCGTCGCTCGACAACCGAACTAAGATAACGCCCCATAACGCACCCGTATGACGCCCGATCCTGGCGCGCGCACCTCACAGAACCTCTCTGTATACGACATTCCGCGTCCGATGGTTGTGCGTGGAAAGCACCTCGACTGAATCAAAGCTGCCTACGCGCGAGAGAGCCACGTAGAACTGGCCATGAGTGAAGGCCGGGGATGGCAGATATATGCCCACGCGTCGCTTAGTCTGCCCTTGGCAGCGATTGATGGTCATGGCGAATGACAGCTTGACGGGGAACTGACAGCGGCGGAATGGTCGGCCGATGCCGGAATCGACAGCGCTCACCACCAGAGGGAGGCGCGGCAAAAACAGCGTCTCGCCACGCGCGACTCCACTGGCGATTCGCAGCTCGAGCACGTTGGGCGCGGCGCGCAGCACCGTGCACAGCGTGCCGTTCACGACGCGCGGAGCGTCGAGGTTGCGCATCAACACGACCGGGGCGCCGACCTTGACCTGAAGTCGATGCGACGGCATGCCCGACACGTCGATCGCGTTGAGCACCTCGGTGGGCACCGGAGGCCCGTGATCCTCGTTGTCGTCGTCACTGATGGTGTCGACGCTAGCGTACGTGACTGTTTCGCCGGGCAGAAGGGCCAGCGCGGCCTCATTCGCCCTGTCAACGGTCGCATTTAGCGGCGAGAGGATGGCGCGCTCATGCAGCCACTCTTCATCACGGTGTCGCCCGGCCATGTCAGGGAAAATGCGATCGACCAAGGCGGCGAGACTGCGCGCCGGACTGACCACCAACTCGGGCACCTGCACCGAGTCCGGCTGTGCCACGACGGGCAGCCGGCCGTCGCCGACGCGCAGCAGGAAGTTGGCGAACTCACCGGCCTGATCGTCGCCGTTCAACGCCCGCATGTTGGTCGCGAGCTCCATGGTGTCGATCCGAGGCCACATGGGCGATGACTTGAGGCAGGCGTCAACAACCTCTGCGCGCCCGCCGCGCTTCACCACTGGCAGGATCTGTCTCCAGTCGCCAGAGAGCAGCGTCAGAACGCCGCCAAACAGCTCTTGCCTGTCGCGGACGTCTTGGAGAGCCCGGTCGACCGCCTCAGTGGCGCGCCGGTTCGTCATGGCCGCTTCGTCCCATACAATGAGGCGACAGCGGCGAAGGTAGTCGGCCTCGGGAGAGCGGCGATCAATGCCGCAGACGTTCTCGTTGTCAGGATGCAGCTGCAGAGGGATCTTGAACCGATGATGGGCAGTCGTGCCGCCCTCCAACAGGCTGGCTGCGATGCCGGATGTGGCCACTGCAACTGCCACGTGTCCCCGGCTGCGCACCTTGGCCAGCAGCAGGTTCTCCAAGAACGTCTTCCCGCAGCCGCCTGGAGCTTGCAGGAAGATGACACCCGACTCGTCATTGTCCAGCCGTCGCAGCACCTCGTCATAGACGGCGCGCTGGTCATCCGTCAGACGCGGCTCGTCGCGCTCAACGCGATCGGCCAGAGCGGCCGGGTCGTACTCGGGACCGCCGGGCGGCTCGTCGTCGTCGCCATCGGCGGCGGCGGCGGCGTCCGGCACCGGCGGCACCGGCAGTCCGTACTCCGCCAGAGATCTGCCGCGCAGCCGGCGGAGAATGCCAGCGATCTTCCGCAGCGCCTGCTGGCGCACTTCGTCCTCGGTGAGACCACGTCTGCCAGCCGCGCGAGCGGTGCGCTGACGGCGAGCGATGTCCTCGGACAGGGCGGTCCGCGAACCTCATCCACAGCGCCATGGGATCGCACGTAGCCTCTCCCTCGATCAGAATCAGAGCGAAGAGGAAACGCAAACCACCTGCAAAGCGCGTCACACTCGCCTCCTCCAGTGCGCGCGCCCAGTGCGCTCCGTCCTCGAGCAGCCCCAGTGCGGAGCACGCCTCGCGCATGGTGGCACACACGCGGCCATCGACCGTGCGGAGGTGCTCGTAAGAGCGCGGACCTCGGACGCTGTGAAGGAGCAGGCGAAGAAAGAAAACTTCGCCCGCGCGCGGCGTCGTGGTGTACACGCGCGACAGAGTCTCAGAGGCAACCACGCCCGGCACCTCGGGGTGAGGCTGGCCACGGACGCGGCGTTTCCAGTGGGCCGGACGGGCGTCTGCGCCCCGGCCGCGTCGCACCTGCCACGTGTAGTATCGCGGCACCTCTGGGTAGAGGAGTGTCGCCGCGAACGCGTCACGCTGGCACAGCTCAAAGAAGGCTGTGAGCATGGATGGATTAGCCTGCTCGCCCGCGATGACCGCTTCCAGGTTTTCGTCGCCGCGGAACACGACACGTCTCTCGTCGTCACCGAGATGCAGCTGCAGCCGCTGGACCGGCGGATGATGGACGTGGACTGGTCGGTCGAGCAGCCGCCACGCTGCCTCCATGGATCCCAGGTACCGGCTGTTCTGATACTGGGTCACCTCGTCAACCACGCCGTCGGGCTGCACGGCGAACATGATCCTATCCGAGCCCTTGGTGACGTACTTGATGCAGTAGCGGATCGCTCCCATCGCGTGCGTGATCAGCTCGACGTTGACGTGTGAGTCCAGCGCGCGAAGGATGTGCGGATTGTAGGGAACGATCCAGCGGTTGTCGATTTCCACACCGCGCCGTCCGGGCGTCCGCGCACGTTGACCGCCGTCCTCCGGCGCGCGCCGCCTGTACTTGGGATAGCTGCGCTCTGGCAGCTCTGTGGCCTCCAGATACGGGCGCGGATAGCCGACGCTACAGCGGCCGTCCTTCATGCAGACCGCCTGCGGGTTCAGCGCGCCGCACGGACCATGCACCATCTTGGTGCAGACGATCGCGTGCAGTTCCGGATCGGTCTCGGGATCTGGCAGCTCAGCGCACACGCACGTGTCCACGTCTTCGGCGCGAGGTTTGTCGGCGGGCACGACCCACAGCAGAAGGTGAGCGTGCGGCAGGCCACGCTTCTGCCACTCAATCGTGTGCAGAATGGCCCGCTGTCGACCCAGGATGCCGCCCCGCAGCTGCTTCAGCAGCGCCTGCAGCTTGAGGTCAAACACCTGACTGACAACGTCAGGGTGGTCGCACGGCCGATCGTAGTCGCCCGGCCTCTCTCCCGGGTAGAGGGTGCGCAGAGTTTGCTCAATCTCTGGCCAGGCCGGGTTGCACGTCACGGTGATGAAAAAGTCGGCGGCGCCAAAGTCTCGAACGTAGCAGAGAGCGTCTTGTAGTTTGGCCATCATGAAGCGCGGACTACTCGTTACGGATGCCGGCAGCACCACGCGCCGTCCGACGGCTCGGCCGTGCTCCTCGCCGTCAGCCAGCGCGTCTCGCACGCCGCGGATGGTCTCGGCGCGGAAGCCGTTGAAGCCGTCCTGGTTCGCGCGCACATACGACAGACGACTCGACTCAGCTTTTGCCTCAGTGTCCACCAGGTACTGTTGAAACAGCCGGCCCCCTCGCGGAATGAGATTGAAATGACCCGGTCGGAAGCGCATGTGGAACGCACCATACTGACGGATTGTGACGCCGCGCTCGGCCTTCAGCTCGAGCGACCACCCGTCCGTGCCGCGCGGGTGCAGCAGCACATAGAGCAGCGGGTCGTACTGGCGGCTCAGTTCGTCGATGCGGAACAGTTGTCCGCCGCGCTCGCGAACGACGATGTCGCGCCGGCCCCCCATCTCATTGGGCATCAGGACCGCCACTTCGCGACCGATCGGTAGATTGAACCGGCGCTCGTGCTCCGACAGCGGCCGGTGTTCGGCCGACAACACGATCCGGCAGTTCGGCACACCGCGCGCCATCAGCAGAGCCGGCTGGAGCGCACGCACGTAGTTGTTGTGCTCGTGCAGCATGCCCAAAAGGATGTCGAGAACGGCTCTGTCGAGGCCGCCACACATGGTGGCACGTCGCGCGGTGGCCTCGTCTGCGTCGAGGAAATACACCTGCATGAACTGCTCCTCGCCGCCGCGAGCGGGCAGTAGAGATCCCATACGATGACACACGCTACCCTGAACGGTGAAAGCCGCGTGATACGCCCCGTCGTGTCGGACGACGTTGCACCCCATACTGGCCAGCTGGAAGGCCGTGTTGTAAGCGCGAATTTTGCCCCGAAACTCGTCATAGAACGCCGTGCCGGGGGTCATCAGCTCCACCATCTCGTCCGGCGGCGGGGGATGGAAGTCAAGCTGCACCTTGCCCTGATGGCAACAGGCGCCTGCGGGCTCGGCACGCCAGCGCAGCGCTCCACAATGGGCACAGACGGTGTCCATTCGGCCCAGCTGCATGCCAGCCGGCGGCTCGAACTCGGCGGGGACATAATTGCGAGCCAGCAGGTGCTGGTCGCCTCGACGACGGGCGGGCGCGTCCACCGGAGCCTGTCCATCAGCGCCCCCCACTGCCTCCGCGTCGTGCGCATCGGCCGCGGGCTGGCGGGCCGCTGCGCCGTCTGGCGCATCGACCGCTGCCGCCTCCACAGCGTCTACAGCATCATCGGGCGTGTGGGGCGCCTCCTCTCCTACAGCGCCGCCCACTGCCTCCGCGTCGGGCGCATCGGCCGCGGGCCGGCGCGCCGCTGCGCCGTCTAGCGCATCGACCGCTGCCACCTCCACAGCGTCTACAGCATCATCGGGCGTGTGGGGCGCCTCCTCTCCTACAGCGCCGCCCACTGCCTCCGCGTCGGGCGCATCGGCCGCGGGCCGGCGCGCCGCTGCGCCGTCTAGCGCATCGACCGCTGCCACCTCGACAGCGTCTACAGCACCATCGGGCGTGTGGGGCGCCTCCTCTCCTACAGCGCCGCCCACTGCCTCCGCGTCGGGCGCATCGGCCGCGGGCCGGCGCGCCGCTGCGTCGTCTGGCGCATCGGCTACTGTCGCCTCGACAGCATCTACAGCACCATCGGGCGAGTGCGTTGCCACCTCTCCTACAGCGCCGCCCACTGCCTCCGCGCCGGGCGCGACGTCCGCGACACCGCCCACCACCGGCGGTTCAAACGCAGTCGGTGGTGCGATCGGCTGATCCGCCACACCAGCAGCAACAGGTGGCTCAAGACCTGCGCCGTCTCTCCCTGTCCTGACCTTAGTGCGAGCCGTAGCCATTCTCTCACGATTGCGTCGCTGACGCTCGGCGAGCTCAGCCTCCGATTCACGCTCCCTCCTAAGTCGATGACGCTCCCGGTCACGCTCGCGTCGCGCGGCAGCGATATCCGCGGCAAGGATGACCGGCGGCTGGGCCCCCGATGGACCGGGAACCGGCACTGCATCGACTACCGCCTGATGGGAAGGGCCCGCGCCACCTGTCTGATCTCTTTGTCTAGCGCGCGCCAGAGCCTGACGTTCACGTTTACGTTGCAGGCGAAGAAGTCGCTCAGCCTCAGTTTCTCGCTCTCGGGCGAGGCGACGACGCTCGCGATCACGCGCCCGTCTCGCGGCCGCGGCGTTCACCGTCGGATCTACGGACTGACCGTTACGTTGACCGTTTGCGGGTTCAGCTGCATCGCCATCGACCATCAGACCGTCAGCGCGCCGTGCCACCGTCTCCGGCGCTGGCCCCGGAGGGTCGGCGGCGGTCGGGCGACTCGGCGACGTTGGCGGAGGTGTTTGACCCGACATTGCGAGCAATTCTGGAAATGGAACAAAGGAACGGGATTACAATCGGAATCTGCTAGGAGGAGGCAAAAGGGTAATACTGTTTGAAATTGTTTTAACGGACTTTCACTGGATAGTGGGTAAAAGTTATTATTGGTCCCGTTCGATGGGGCACACATAGGTTTAAAACAGACAAAAATCAGGTAGCCATTTTTCGCAACACATCAATCAAATTTCTAAATATCCAGCACGTGACGCACAACTTGCCTATTCTCATATGTAAAACATAGCCAATAGGTACACTTCCTCTTCCAAAGAAAAACTACTGTTTTAGAGCACTGTCCCATATGGGGCTAAGCGAGAATTTACCCACGCCCTGGTTTAAAGACGGATTGCACACTCGAATTTCGATCGCTTCTCTAACCACACGGCGACCCCATGTCGGCTCCACAGCTGCAGTGCTGGCCTGCCTCGGGTCGAACTGCCGCCCACACTGTAGCCATTCAAAGCATTTAACCAAATCCATCAGGCACTACTACCACATGACTCACCCCAGTTCAAATGGTTAAAATTCAAAATTCGGGTCGGGTCGGGTCGGGTCGGGTCGGGTCGGGTCGGGTCGGGTCGGGTCGGGTCGGGTCGGGTCGGGTCGGGTCGGGTCGGGTCGGGTCGGGTCGGGTCGGGTCGGGTCGGGTCGGGTCGGGTCGGGTCGGGTCGGGTCGGGTCGGGTCGGGTCGGGTCGGGTCGGGTCGGGTCGGGTCGGGTCGGGTCGGGTCGGGTCGGGTCGGTCGGTCGGTCGGTCGGTCGGTCGGTCGGTCGGTCGGTCGGTCGGTCGGTCGGTCGGTCGGTCGGTCGGTCGGTCGGTCGGTCGGTCGGTCGGTCGGTCGGTCGGTCGGTCGGTCCTGCTGACCGATATCTTTTTCAAGATCACATTAGTGCCTGCAATCCACAACTACCACGCCTCTGCCATTATCAATTTTTTGTTAGAATATTATTTTTTACCACACCTCTGCCATTATCAATCTTTGTTAGAATAATATTTTTTAAGCTTTTCATTTAAACTCAAAGCATTTAACCAAATCAATCAGGCACTACGGGATTACAATCAGAATCTGCTAGGAGAGGGCACATGGGTAATACTGTCTTATCAATAGACAAACACCAAACACAATCCATCTGCCAGCGTCAGTTCTTTATGTTAGATTATAATAATTTTATAATTTTAATTACAGATTTAAGTATTTAGTTATAACAGTCTGGCGCACTACCACAATGCTGCTAGCCTGAGTTCAAACACAGAGATGAATTTCAAATTCAAGCAATAATTTAGCACCATAGCAGCCACCTTTGCAATGATATATCAATTCTTTATTAGAATGTTATTTTTAAGCCTTTCATTTACATTCAAAGCATTTAACCAAATCAATCAGGCGCTACTACCACATGACTCATCCCAGTTTAAATAGTTAAAATTCAAAATTAGTTGAGTCGAGTCGAAAAACAACAGGTGGTCCTAACTTCGCTCTTTCAAGAACATTATGCAATCAGCTGACAGCTGATTGCAGCTGTTGCTATATCAACACTGTTTACAGATGTAATAAAGGTAGAAAAATAGCCAACAACTCACATCTAGCACCTAGCCCCTAGAGAACATCTACTGTGCAACCTACGTTTCAATGACGGATGCAGTCACACACTGACATATAGATCGAAAATGTCATGTTTTTCCTGCTATCACTGCCTTATGCAACCTCCAAACACTGAAGAAATTCAGTAATTTAAGAGAGAAAAGAAAAAAAACTCATCCTCCAAGTTCCAAAAGTGACACCACACATCAAAACTCACAATACATTTTACACAAACATTTTATGTACCAAACCACCACCCCGAGCAAGGTAAGGTTGAGTTATGTTAGGTCAGATTTGGTCAAGACAGGTTACGTTCTGCAAATTTAAATTAGGTCCAGCTTCTATAGCAACTGATGACTGACTGGAGAGAACCAAAATGTCTCCTGTCTAACAGGAAATTTTTGCACAAATGTGCCAAAAAAAGAACAGGCAGCCCTATCTTTGTACTTTGAAGTAAATCATGCAGTTAGCTGAGCGCTGCAGCTCCAACTACCTTTTCCACCCTTTGCAAAGCACAAACTGAATGAATTCAGGCAATAAAATATGAAAACATCCTTCTAAGATTGGAAAATAACATCACGCATTGATACTCACAATACTTTTTATTTAAAAAAAATATTTATGACTCACCTGACCATACGCTGGGCCAAATAAGGCTTAGTTACATTGGGAATGGCAAGGTCATATTAGAAGGGAAGGGTTCAGCTTTTGCATTTCTGCTGACGCCACACCTGTTCTGTTGGTTTTATGCACATTTAGAGCCCTGGGTTCAGAGGGCGGCTTTAAATGTCTCCTGTCTAACAGGAAATTTTTGAACAAATGTGCCAAAAAAGGAGCAGGCAGCCCTATCTTTGTACTTTGAAGTAAATCATGCAGTTAGCTGAGCGCTGCAGCTCCAACTACCTTTTCCACCCTTTGCAAAGCAGAAACTGAATGAATTCAGGCAATAAAATATGAAAACATCCTTCTAAGATTGGAAAATAACATCACGCATTGATACTCACAATACTTTTTATTTTAAAAAAAATATTTATGACTCACCTGACCATCCGCTGGGCCAAATAAGGCTTAGTTACATTGGGAATGGCAAGGTCATATTAGAAGGGAAGGGTTCAGCTTTTGCATTTCTGCTGACGCCACACCTGTTCTGTTGGTTTTATGCACATTTAGAGCCCCGGGTTCAGAGGGCGGCTTTAACCTGCTAGGTAACTGCTTTTCAAGTTCCTAACATCACGTTTCACCATCACCATATTAAAAAAGTTCAAAATGTTTTAAGCAGCAGACTAATAAAAACTGGCAAAAACTAAACTTTTGCTTCAAATTGTTTCATGAGGCAAAATATTAGGATAAATCACTTCAATTAAAGGCAATCATGCACGCGCCACGTTAGCCGCGCCACTTGCATTTTTCGTAATAAATAAGCCTTTATGCACCAAAACCACCTTTGAAAAATCATCCCAGTAATTAACAACAGCTCTCAAGGTCAATTGGCATTCATATGTAATCTTAACACCCTCCAAATTCAAAATGTTTTATCTAAATCATTGTGACGCATCCACCACCAAGCTCACCTCGGTCCAAACACAACGGCCGATTTAGTGATGAATATTAAGCGTATTAAAAGAAATGCCTATTTGAAGGAGTTCATGAATACTTTGTTACACAGAAATGCTTGCCATATTTTTCTACTTTTTTAGAGCTAAACTATGTCTTACTTTGCAGTCCCTCTATCGTATTATGGTATGTAACTATAGTGACGCAGTTTGCTCTCCGCAGCTGGAGCAAACATTTGTCGAACCCGGTTCTGACGGAAATCGTACGATTAGAGATTTTCGAGTCCTACTTGCAAAATGTTTTACCTATTATTTGTATCATGTTTTTCGATCGTCCCTCAATCAATTCCACCCTCTGTCGGCCCCAACTTACCTGAATTTTTGGCGAGTCCGGGCTCGTCCGGTGACGAAAACCGGCCGATCTAGTACGGGCGGACGCCGGCGCCGCGGCCGAGCAGACGGCCCGTCACGGAAGTTGCAGACGGGAGATGATCGGCATAAAGCGCTCGTGTATCTCGGC